GCTGCTCGGTGCCCGAGGGTCCCTTTCCAGGGCATCTGGTGGACGTGAGCGGCACCGGGACCCTGTCCCAGAGCTACCAGTACGAGGTGTGTCTGGCGGGAGGTTCCGGGACCAATGAATTCAAGTTCCTGAAACCAATTATCCCCAGATTCCTACCCCAGAACACAGGTAGGGAAGTAGAAGAAAATCCCCCATTTCAGAATAATTTGGGTTTCTGATAAAGAATGAAACCTAAATGTGTGTCTGTGAATACATTTCTAATTAGGAACTTATCTTGAGCTGCCTGTAGAAGAGTGTCTTTAGATCATTTCAAATATGTACTCTTGAAGTCAAGAAATAAATTTCTGCGCATAGAAAAGAATCTACATTTAGTACCAGGAACCCTTCTCAAAGCATGACATGTATATGTGTAATGTTTTATGTCAAATAATTATGCTTAATATACAGTTTATTAAATGATAAGTCTTGTTTGAGATATTTTAAATTGCTTTCCATTGTTTTCTATTTCTACTAGGACTTTCTCTTTGAGTTGCTTAGAATGCTGTATGAGTGTACCTACTATAGTCTCAGAAGCATAGACTGTAGAGTATCTTTTTAAGCATTTTTTAAAAATGCTTTTTGTGCATCATACACTATTTTAACACTTTTAATCTCAGAAGAACTATATGAGGTGTCATATTTTAGGAATGACAAAATAGATGCTCTTAGATTTTCAGTATGTTCACTAAGATCCTAACAAGTGACAAAACTGGGCATCTGTCCTAGATCTGTCTGACTCTGGGTCAGTGACCCTGCTCCGACTTCATACTGTTTTGTCTCATTAGATATCACCTGGCAAGTTTCTGCCTAGTTAAGGAGAGGAAGTCTTTTCATCATATTCATATTGCTGTTCAATCTTTTCTATATTTAGAAATAATAATGTACATATTTGTCTGTGGTTTTCTTATTAACCAATAATCCTGCTTTTCTGGGTCAGTTTTCAACTATTATTACTAATGATCTGATCTGTCCAAATCTCAGGTGAAAAACAAAATTGAAAGGGCAATTTGTGCCTTCTCCTTGACTTCAGAACATATGACTTTTGTTTCACAGAAAATGATTAATGGTCCTGAGTAGGAATATTACATAATTTTGACCACATCATTAATTAATTATTTTCTTCACATTGTAGAATTTTTCTACAGTCGCCCATACTTAACATTTGTAGTACATTTTCCTGATTTGAAAGTTTGTTTTTGAAAGTTTTCTATTAATTATCATGTACTGCTGAATCAGGAATATTTATGAAAAAATCATTTTAAATGTATAATATCAAAGAGAAACATAGATGATCATTAAAAATTTTTAGAAATGCTGAAGAGTTAAGGAGAAGCACTGTTTTTTATAAAAATTTATAGCCTATTTTAGTTTTTAAAATATCTAGACAATTTTTGCATGGTTATTTTCTGAAAATGTTATAAACTAGTGCTTGTAACTCTAATAAAGGTAGTATTACTTTATATCACTGGTGAGATAGAATCTAAGAGCGAAAAAAAAAAAAAAAAACCCTCACAGCAGTAAAATCTTAAATTGCTTTCATGGTCTCAGGGTAACATTATCCAATTTCTCCAACAAATAAATGGCACGAAAAATGGGAGGAGGGAAGTCTACACTAGGAAAGGTCTTAAGAGATCTACCAATCAAATGCAATGTGTGGGTCTTGTCTGGATCTTGATTCAAACGATAGTGATAACTTTGAAACACTTGGAAGAGTTTGAATATCGATGGGTACAAAGTAATATTAACTTACTTTTTTAGGCATAATAATGGCATTATAGTTAAGGGCATTTTTAGAGTCGCTTAAAGTCATTGTGCATTTAAAGAAATGTATACTGAAGTATTTGTGGGTGAAAATACGATTTACCTGGAATGTGAAATGTTGGAGGGATAGAGTCAAGAATTATGGCAAAACGTTGATAATAGTTGAAGCTAGTACTGAGTACTTGGTGGTTCATTATACTCTTCTTTTATAAGATAAGAAAAAATTCAGAATAAAAGATTTTTTAAATTGATCCCGTTCGAAGTGGAGGTAACAAAAAAGGACATCCTTCCCCAGAAACAAAATCACCAGTTGTTACAGATTATGTCTCTATTTAGACAAACTCTGCAGCCTTTCCTTGTCTGTTTACCTTCATTATTTGACATAACTTCTCTGACATGGTCATGCTTATGTAGTCTTTTGCCATTTGAATTTTGAGGTGTTTTTCTAGTTATATTAATGGATTCATGTATAGTCAGCTACCTGTTGGTATCAAATTGCTATATACCGGGTATATAGTTTATGTATAAGGTTAATCTCTCTTTGCATCAGTTACCTTATCTGTAAGGTGGAAAATTCACAACAGCCCTATGTAGTAGGTGCCATTATAATCCTCACTTTACAGATGAGGAAACTAAAGAAGAACGATTAAATAATTTGTTCAAGGTTCACAGCTACTAAGTATTCTGTGGCTCATGGAAATAACAGTATAAACATCTAAATATTGCCTGTTATATTTAACTCCAATTATATTTGAAATTTTCTGCATATATTCTTTTTGCCAAGCTAGACTGTTACCTAAATATTTCATTTTGCCCCAACTCAGTTAGCATTGTTGAAAGATTAATGTAATTTCTCCTTCGGGCAGTTGTCTGCTTAATAACGTCCGGCGATATTAACGGTGATGTTCTAACCTTACATAGCCCCTGGGTACACACAGGCAGAGTTGGGAATATTGCATCATCCCACTAAATGTAAATCCTGTGAGGACGCGTGGTGGCGCTGCAGGATAAGAAGGTACAAACCAGAACCGCAGCTACCGCTCCATTAACCGGCAAAAAGCCGCAGAACCTGGAAGCCCACGGGAAGCTCGGAGGCTAAGAGAGGAAGGTTGGGTCCTCTGGAAAGGACTACTCCCAGGAAAAATTCTGAGGCATCTGTGGAATAACCATAGCCTCAGATGCTGGTGACTTTACAGTCCCACGGAACCCTCCTCCCCGGAAGCTGAACAAAGCAAGAACAATGGAGGCCAGCAGGATGTTCATTTGCAGACAAAGGCAAGTCGTTTTTTCCTTTCTCCTTTTCGGCTTATCTCTGGCGGGCGCGGCGGAACCTAGGCGCTATTCTGTGGTGGAGGAAACTGAGGGTAGCTCCTTTGTAACCAATTTAGCAAAGGACTTGGGTCTGGAGCAGAGGGAATTCTCCAGCCGGGGGGTTACAGTTATTTCCAGAGGGAACAAACTACATTTGCAGCTCAACCAGGAGACCGGGGATTTGTTGCTAAATGAGAAACTGGACCGTGAGGATCTGTGCGGTCACACAGAGCCGTGTGTGCTACGTTTCCAGGCGTTGCTAGAGAGTCCCTTAGAGTTTTTTCAAGCTGAGCTACAAGTAACAGACATAAACGACCACGCTCCAGTATTTCTGGACAAAGAAATGCTGGTAAAAGTGTCAGAGAGCAGTCCTCCTGGGACTACATTTCCTTTGAAGAATGCTGAGGACTTAGATGTAGGCCAAAATAATATTGAGAGCTATGTAATCAGCCCCAACTCCTATTTTCGGGTCCTCACTCGCAAACGCAGTGATGGTAGGAAATATCCAGAGCTGGTGTTGGACAAAGCGCTGGACCGAGAGGAGGAAGCTGAGCTTCGGTTAACACTTACAGCCCTGGATGGTGGCTCTCCACCCAGATCTGGCACTGCTCTGGTCTACGTTGAAGTTGTGGACTTCAACGATAATGCCCCTGAATTTGAGCAGCCTTTCTATAGGGTGCAGATCTCTGAGGACAGTCCAATAGGCTTCCTGGTTGTCAAGGTCTCTGCCACGGATGTAGATACTGGAGTCAACGGAGAGATTTCCTATTCACTTTTCCAAGCTTCAGACGAGATTAGCAAAACTTTTAAGGTCAATTCCTTGACGGGAGAAATTCGACTAAAAAAACAACTTGATTTCGAAAAACTTCACTCCTATGAAATCAATATCGAGGCAAGAGATGCTGGAGGTTTTTCTGGAAAATGCACCATTTTGATTCAAGTGATGGATGTGAATGATCACGCTCCAGAAGTTACCATGTCTGCATTTACCAGCCCAATACCTGAGAATGCGCCTGAAACTGTGGTTGCAGTTTTCAGTGTCTCAGATCTTGATTCAGAAGAAAATGGGAAAATAAGTTGCTCTATTCAGGATGATCTACCCTTCCTCCTGAAATCTTCTGTGGGGAACTTTTACACACTACTAACAGAGAGATCATTAGACAGAGAAAGCAGAGCCGAGTACAACATCACTATTACGGTCTCTGACTTAGGGACACCCAAACGAACAACACAGCTCAATATGACCGTGCTGGTCTCTGATGTCAATGACAACGCCCCCGCCTTCACACAAACCTCCTACACCCTCTTCGTCCGCGAGAACAACAGCCCCGCCCTGCACATCGGCAGCGTCAGCGCCACAGACAGAGATTCAGGCACCAACGCCCAGGTCACCTACTCGCTGCTGCCGCCCCAGGAC